CACATAAAATGGTTTACGCGTTTCAGCAATGTAGCCATGACTGGCTATGATTAAGGCTTATTGCCGAAACACATAAGCCATTTTACTCGCTCAAAGTTTTATTTGGGAAGACGAGTGCCGGCTATACCAATCTTCATCACCTCTATAGGCTGCCTACACATGGATGCAGGTGCAACAATTGTACCATGCATGCAAAAACGGGGTGTCAATGTTTTGGGAAAAAACAGTTACAAAATTATTCTTCCAAATACAAACTTTTTTTTTTTCTCTACTATTCTACCGAACGCACAGCTGGCCATCTCCACAGAAGCCAAACTTGCCGACTTTTTACCGAGCCATAAAAGCCTTATTTAGTGTAAAATGTAACTAGCGAGCGTTGCCCTCAGCCTGGAAAACGCACACAGCTCTCTAATTAGCTGCCTAGAGCAGTAAGTCTCTTTATCCTTGTGAGAGGATTTGTTCGTTCTCAGTGGAAAGGATGATCCATCTTCATATCTTATTCATTTCCTGCAGACTGGACTGGAAACAATGTCACAAGATATCTGTGTCTAAGTGCACATAGGTGAGCGCCTAATGAGCGCGGCTTGTCGAATGGCCCAATGTAATAGTTTCTGAATGCGCAAGAAGAAAAAAAAAAAAAAAAAAAAAAAAAAAAAGAAGAAGAGGCTTGGGGAGATTAAACCTTCCAGTGACCTCTAAGAACTTGTAATGGAGCGATTTTTTATTTCTAAGAGTAATTGAACAGTAAGTACCCACTTTCACAATGCGGACTGACATCACGGCCTTTTCTTCTGGGTAAATGTTGAAGGTTACACCCAAACCTATTACACAAAACTGCCGAACTCATCACAAAGTTCAAACGCCACGGAACAAACCTACACAGCTTAGGTAGGAGATAAATGAAACACTCGCACTTAAAAATGTTCTTTCTGCATTTCTAACCACCAGAGATTATCCGTGTCACTGCCTTGGGCTTTAGGCTGACATCTGCGCCATTTCAAAAGCTCAGGGTGTACATTCCAATATTTGCTCAATAGGTCAGCAGCAGATCTGCAGAGTAAATCCCAGTGACAACATGTATGGCCAATTCTCTGCTGGCAGGATTTAAAACAAAAAAAAAAAAAAAAAAAAAAAAAAAAAAAAAAACACACAGCATTTTAAAAACCATATAAAATCTCAAAGTATATCTATAGGATTTGATAAAACTGTTACTGTGGGTCAGGTTATCTTTTCTTAAACAAAAGTTTTTCTAAAAGGCAGATTTTTTTCTACCTTAATGCATACTATCCCCCCTTATATTTACCCGAGCCCAATCACAATCCAGCAATGTGCGTGCGAGCAGAGGCCATCTGCTCTCTCCTTCCTCACTGGCTCAGACACTACAGGGGGAGCCATTGGCTCCTGCTACTATCATGCACACCCAGTGATGAGGGGGCAGGGCCAAGTCTTGCTGTCTGCCTCAACAGACTTAGAAAGGGCAGCTCAGGATTGAGCCTGCACGAATGCCCCATACCAGGGGCAGACTGACCATTTGGAAACTCGGGCACTGACCGAGGGCACGGTGTCAGTAGGGGGCCCCATGAGATGCCCCTGGTACCTTTTTCATAGGCTTTTTTGAGTTTGGGCAAGGACACAGGGCCCCCCATGATCCCCTATTGCCCGGGGGCCCCATGAGTGGTCAGTCTGCCCTTGGGGTGTAGATACACTTTAAAAAAAAAAGGTTTATGATCACCCATTAGCACTAATAATCTAAAAGATACCAAAAACACCACAATTATGGTAGCAAATCTTTCTATAGGTGTGCATTAGGCCATTTAATCCTCCTCCAAGCGAAAGGAAAAAAAAAAAAAAAAAAAAAAAAAAACCCCATACGCAAACGATCAAGGACCACAGTAACAGACACTTGACGGGTGATCCCCTATTGCCCGGGGGCCCCATGAGTTGTCAGTCCACCTCTGCCCCATACCATGTATGATTGGCTTTCACTGCCCACGCAGGTGATAGATCAGTCTGAGGGATTTGAAAGCTGCAGTCTTCTTCACTTTGGGACGTCAGGACAGTGACTCAGATTGGTTAAAGCAGTCACAGACCAGCACATGACCAATCAGTAGCACTCTGATCCTGCCTGATAGACTACAGCTTTCAAAAACCAGCTGCTTTGCCGATGAAAGCCGATTATTCATGCAAGTGCAGGAGGGTTTCGGGGTTGTTTTGGGGAGGTGTACTATTGGCTCACCTTTTCCAGATAAATGCCATTACCAAGTCTAGTTTGCTTCCTGCCATTGTACTGGAACTGATCAGCTCATTTCACACGGGCTTCAGCTTGTGTAAAAGCTGAGTGAACAGCAGGCTTTGTTGAAACTTTTAAAAAATACCATCCAGCTCCAGTTTGGAAATCCAAAAAAAAAAAAAAAAAAAAAAAAAAAAAAAAAAAAAAAAAAAAAAAAAAAAAAAAGAAAAGAAATAACCTAATGGGAGTGCAGATTGCGACTTTAAAAATGAGCTGCTAGCAAATTTCGGCACTCCTTGAAGCTTGTTGAAAGCCTGCTGAGGCCTGCCAGCAGCTTGGTTAAAGTGGCAATCAGCACTCCTACTAGGATGTGTGTTCAACATTTCAAAAATGGAGCTCAATGGTACTTTAAAAGCCTCAACAAGGCTTCCTGGAAACTCTGCTCCTATACAAGCCGAAGCCTGTGTGAAACAAGCCATACAGAGTGAAGATTTATAGATGGATGTGTAGCAAGTTTCTTCCTTTTCTGCAATGAAAACACATCCAAAAGCAGTTGCAGAGATTTCCAAGGAAAAGGAAGAGAATTTTCTGTATCGAAACTAACCCTTAGGGCCGGTTCACACCATGCCCGCAGCCGAATCGCACAGGAAAACTCACATGCGGTGCAATTTTAAGCCCATTCATGTTGAATGGGCTCAAACTGCACCGCGCCAAAAGTAGATTGTAAGCTCTAACGAGCCAGGCCCCATATCTTCTTGTACCAAATTGTATTGTAACTAATGTCTACCTTCATTTTGTAAAGCGCTGCGCAAACTGTTGGCGCGATATAAATCCTGTATAATAATAAATAATAATAATAATACCAATAGTGCATGCACTACTTTTTATAATACACTGTAACCGGAGCTCATGTCACAAAATTACCATGTAATCCGGTGCAGGCAGGTGTGGGCAAATGCACTGCGTTTGGGGTATCCTTAACATTTTGACAGCCACTGCAGATCGCAAAAGCAGCGCATTTTGCGCGCGTGTTTAATCACACAGGAACACAGCGCATTCCTGTGCGATTGTAGTGCTTTTACTATGCCAAATCAAACTGTACAGCTGTTTAAATACACCGTTCACCTTGCGTAAAGGGCCACACAAACAAGAGGCCCGAGTATTTTACAATGCAATATACCTTTTTGCAAAATACAATGTAATGTGATTGTACCCCCCTTGAGGGTTAGGGACTGATGTGAATGTACAATATGTATGTAAAGCGCGGCGTAAATTGACGGCGCTATACAAGTACCTGAAATAAATTATGTGATTGGACCTCTGCTGGCACCCCAGAAGCTTGCGCGATATATTTTCACACCATGTACCTTCACATGCAATAGCGTCTGTGACACAGCAGTGCTTGGATGCTTGTTCTCCACAGCACTCTTCAATTTCAAGAACTGTGCATGCCCTTTCCCCATCACAATAATGCTGAACCACTAGTGAGCGTGCTGCAAATGAGCCAGGGAATGCAATGCAGCAGGCAAATAAAGCAGCTCTGTCACTTATTAACCTCCCTAGCGGTCTGATTATGTCCATATTTCTGTGCTCAAAGCGGTACTTTTTTTGCATGGAAATATGTATTTTTTTTATTGTAGGCCCGTAACTTTTAGGAATAACTCGCTGAAATCTGTCCAAACAAGAGTCTAGTAAACATCCCGCGTATGTTAACATTTGAAACACGAACTCAAATTATAATTTAATAAATAATCAAAAAATATAATACATTTAATATAATCAAACCAAAAACACTGAAATGTGAAATAGAGCGCCAAGTTCGCACATCGCTGAGCAAAGTCGCAGAATCGTTTTCAGTGTCTGATGAGGAATTTCCCCCACGAATCATTATCACTCAATTCTGCAAGTGGTTCTGATTTACTATCGCTGTTCTCTAGCCGGTCTAAAACCGCTTTTGACCTAAAGGGACGCTTTTTGGACGCCATGGATGTTTCTCAGTTTCCAGGCAGAAAGAACAGTAAAAATGCAGGCAGGGCGCCGAACAAAGCACTCGGGACAAAATGTATGTGAAATGGTTTGAAACAGGAATGTTATACTATGTGATGTTAGTGAATGTCACTTTTACAATTTTCAAACTTCCAGCCAGTTCTGTCCCCCGTACGTCCCGACGTCGCAGGGGACGGAACCCAGAAGACAGATGCCGGCATCCGCCGGAGGACATTGCCGGGGACACTGCGGGAGCGCAGGACAAGGTAAGTGCAGAAGGGATCCCGGAGCAACGCTGCAGTGTATTCCCGAGTGTAGCTCGGGGTTACCGCTTGTGGTGCTGAAACTTTACCCCGAGCTACACTCAGGAATACCGCCGGGGGGGTTAAAAGGAAATAATTTCATGTCCATTGTCTGGGCAGATGGGTGTTTTTAAAATTTTAGGTACTCTGCAGTCAAAGCATGCACAGCACTAAAGTAAAACCTGGTGTTTTTTTTTTTTTTTGCAACGTCCAGCATCACCACTTACCTCATAAGACCAGACACACTGCACTTTGGCAAACCTCCGAACACATCTGCCAATTTCAACATCCTCGTGGGTGGTGTACATGGATCTGAGACACTCCCCAATGTTTGGAACCATCCTCCGCAGAACCTCTCTGCTCATAATCACCCCGGGACCGCCCATGCAGAAGTTTTCATTCGGCTCCAAGGCCAGCTTGCCCATCTCCTCTGTGGTGCCCAGGCCAGTCTGCCCCAAGAACAAAGGCTCGCTGCTGTTAAGGCTGCGCAGGAAGCTCTCTAGGCGGTCTCCCTTGATATAGACATCGTCGTCTGCTCTCATGAACCACTCGTACTGATCCAGATAGTGATCGTGCATATATTTCAGCATCATGAAGGACTTCTTCTGTGGTGGGTAGGAGTCATCTACACCTTTGAGCGCGATTATAGGAATTGGTATGGACATGTCTGAACCCTCGCTTGAGAAGAACTCCACTTTTCCAGGGATGAACTGTGACCAGGTTCTGAAAGATAAAATGTATTGGATTCAGAACATACATCCAGAAAAAGGGTACACCATCAGTAAAAGATATGCAGGGGGGAAAAGATAAAATAAATAAAGGGGGTCTGAATGTTACAGAAATCTAATGATGCCATACTATTTTTTTTTTCCCCCTCAACTCTTTTTTTAAAAGAAACTTTGAAGCCCAACCAAAGCTTTGCTTGTCAGGTTTTTAGCATTTTCTATGTTCCTATTGGGGAGATTTTCCTATCACTTCAGTCAGTGAAACAACCCAAACAACCAATTAAAGATGAAAGTGGTTCTAAACCCTTATGTAAACCTGCTGAAGTGACTGGCCTTAGGTGATACACAAAGATGAAACAAAGAAACAAATCCTCCTCTTCCTGCAAGCTGCACCTGTTTTCTCTATAGTCTTCCAGAATTTATAAAGCTTATTGGAGCTTTAGAGAATGGAGAAAAGCTGGAATTACACTCTGCAGAGCTCAGTGAGGAGAGCTCTGAGAGCTGATTGGAGGGGAAAAGCCACAGCCTCCTCCACACAGCACACAGGAACAGAGCTGAGACGGTCAATCACAGGCTGTTTGCCAGAGATCCTTCCTCTCACCTTTTTGCCCCTCAGTGTCAGGAAAACTTTGTCAGAAGTGATTCAGGCAGATAGAAGAATGGGACAGTAGAAATGACACTTCATGCTCTGGATTGAGACAAATACACACTATAGAGCAGTGGTCTCCAAACTGTAGACTTTTGCTTGCCTTTATCCATCCCACGGACACCAAAGATGGGGCACCATTCCTCACACCAACAATTTGGCATTGTGTACTGCCACTGCCCACAGTACTCCTTAAAGTGTTCCTAAGACCAGGACCCCGCAGTCACTACACCCGGGTCGACCCGGACCCCCCGCAGTCACTACAAACCCGGGTCGACCCGGCCCCCGCAGTCACTACACCCGGGTCGACCCGGCCCCCGCAGTCACTACACACCCGGGTCGACCCGGCCCCCGCAGTCACTACACCCGGGTCGACCCGGCCCCCGCAGTCACTACACCCGGGTCGACCCGGCCCCCGCAGTCACTACCCCGGGTCGACCCGGACCCCCGCAGTCACTACACCCGGGTCGACCCGGACCCCGCAGTCACTACACCCGGGTCGACCCGGACCCCGCAGTCACTACACACCCGGGTCGACCCGGACCCCGCAGTCACTACACCCGGGTCGACCCGGACCCCGCAGTCACTACACCCGGGTCGACCCGGACCCCGCAGTCACTACACCCAGTCACCCACAGTACACAGAACATGGAAATGCAATTATTTTAGTAAATATAAACTGCTAAATATCTTCTCATCAGCCGTTAGAGCAGTCTTGTGACTTCTATCAGTGTTCAGCAGAGCACTGGTTATAGCTTGTAGGAGGAGTTTTCTTTCTGCTCTAGGACTACACAGATCCCGACTTCTGTCTGGACAATACTGATTGGCCCTGTGTTGATCACATGCACTCTCCCAAGATAAAAAAAAAAAAAAAAAAAAAAATCTCCCTCTCTAGCAATACACACCAAAATGAGTAAAGTGCAAAATGCCTACGGTTCAGTCTGTCTTACCAGGAGATAAGAGGTGGTCGCTTAAACGAGGGGAGGAACAGAGCAAGCAGGATCAAACAACCTTTTTACACAATGCTGAAGATTAACCCCTTAGGTTCCACAGTGAGTATAACAAGCATGCTGTACTGCATCTACAGACTGATTGTACTGTTGTGGGTTTAGTAACTTTAAAGGCCTGAAAGACAGTAAAGTGGCCCTTTGCTTAAAAAGTTTGGAGACCCCAGCTGTACAGGGATATGCTTTGTTCATATTTCATGTAAGAGGTTTACAATCACTTTAATGCCAGCCAAAGCCATTTCAGTTTGAAGCTAGACAGAAAGGGTTAATCATGGTACACATTTAAAGGATATGGGGCAGCACAGGGGCTAAATGGTTGGCACTTCTGCCTGGCAGTACTAAAGTTGTTGGCTCGAGTCCCAACCACGGCACCATCTGCCTGGAGTTTGCATGCTTTCCTCCAGGTACTCCAGTTTTCTCCCACACTCCAAAGACATGCTGGTAGGTAATTGGCTCCTGTCTAAATTGGCCCTAGTATGTGTATGTATGAATGTGAGTTAGGGACCTTAGATTGTACCCCCCTTGAGGGTTAGGGACCTTAGATTGTACCCCCCTTGAGGGTTAGGGACCTTAGATTGGACCCCCCTTGAGGGACCTTAGATTGGACCCCCCTTGAGGGTTAGGGACCTTAGATTGGACCCCCCTTGAGGGTTAGGGACCTTAGATTGGACCCCCCTTGAGGGTTAGGGACTGATGTGAAGGTACAATATATATGTAAAGTGCTGTGTAAATTGACGGTGCTATATAAGTACCTGAAAGAAGATGGGTTCACCTTTAGAACATGTTACCCCCATATTTAGAGTGCACCATGTTCAGCATTTCCTCCCCCCACCTGGGACACAGCAGGCGGGGGTTCCGCTCTCCCACTTGCTGTGCAGTAGGGATGAGCTTGTGTGTCACCCATCATTCCTGGGCAATATTACGTGAACGCGTGGTGGTGTGGTGGTGGGGGGGGGGGGGGGGGGGGGGGGGGTGTCACAATTTTTTTTTTTTGTGACCATTTCTCTAGGATCCTGATGTGGGTTCCATAAACGTCTGTCACCTTCTTGTGAAAACGAACAATACTTTTTCACATGTGAACAATCGCGTAGTCATGGCAGACTTCCTGCTGCATTAGTCACCAATGTATAGACATACGTAACATATCGGGACCATTACTGTGCAGCCACTAGACCCAGCAACAAAGGATCAAAGCCGGAGTTCTACCTTACATGTGATGTCATAAGACTTACCAGCATGCTCGGCCACAACGCACACTGAATCTGCACGCTGCAATGTCAGCCTTGGGACAGGGAACCCGTTTTAGGAATTCGTAGGCCTACACTTAGTCCGGGGGGATGGAGAACACGCGTACTACCTGAAAAGCTCGCTCTTCCAGTTAAAATGGTTATAGAAACAACATTCTTCAGGCCAAACATTAACAATTGTCACCGTCCATATTACATAAAAGTGCGAACAGCAACTTGTCACATCGAACACAAAACATAAAATATCGCATCTAGATACAAGCTGTGAGAATGGAATTGTATTCAACCTAGTTCACATCTGTGCACTGCGGATCCGTACGAAAATCCGTGCAGCCGCACCACCCGCACAGAGAAATACGGACCATTACTTCTAATGGCACGCGCCGCCCGCACTGGAAAACGCAACCGTACTGGGAACCTCAGCTGCGTTTTTCCAAAGAAGTGCAGGGACTTCTTTCCTGCGTCTCATGGGTGTCCATTCAAATGAATGGGCTCTCATGCCCCGTGCGAAACGCGGCCCGCATAGGTGTGAACCGGGGGGTAACAGTCACCATTCCCAGCTAAAAGGACCCAGTGTGGTCCGGATTGTGGAGGCTTATGCTGCCAAGAACTTATATCTATATACAGGCGTACCTCACTCGCTTTACGAACGCCTTGGTTAACGAGAATTTTCATTTTACGAATGAAAATCCATAGAAAATAATGCCTCGGTTTACAAAATTTTTTTTTCACAATACGAAGCAAGTTTCCCCAGGATGCATTGCGCCTGGGAGGTTTATAGCACCACCCCCGTGCACGCTGGAATCTGTGGGCAGCACGCGGCATTGAGGTGTGAAGGTGTCTCCCAATGCATCCCTACGGGACGCCGCGCTCCTCCCAATGCATCCCTACGGGACGCCGCGCTCCCAATGCATCCCTACGGGACGCCGCGCTCCCAATGCATCCCTACGGGACGCCGCGCTCCAATGCATCCCTACGGGACGCCGCGCTCCCATAATTTCTGCAATACGAAACATCCCAGAGAACGCATTCAATTCGTAAACCGAGGTACCACTGTATATCTATTCATATCTTAATATTGAGGCTGGTTACACACCTATGTGTCACAACACATTTAACCCATTTTACAACCACCCACCCACATTGTACTGCAGATAGGCAACTGCTGTGGGCAATGTGACCTACCCCTACGTTGCCCACCACCACCTACTGTGATTGCAGTCTGTCAGCAAATGATTCATGGTCTGCTGATCACCTGTGTCCAATCACAGCCCAGAGCTCTGTGTTGACAATCAACACAGAGCTCTATACAGAGGGAACGATTTCTGTTTGCCGTCCCTGCAAAGCAAGGATGAGAAACAAAGATCTTTTAGTAAAAGCACAACACTAACATTGCTCGGCACACATTTACCCCTTGATCACCTTAGATGTTAACCCCTTCCCAGCCAGCATCAATTAGTAGTGTATCACTCATCACTGTATTAGGGACACTGGTGATGTCAATGACAGAATGCCCACCACACTCTTGCTGGCCCATTATAAAAAAATAAATAAATAAAAAAATCGCTGATTGCTGCCATTTGTAGTAAAAAGAAAAAAAATCCCAGTATATATCCCATAGTTTGTAGGTGCTATAACATCCATGCAAACCGATCAATATATTAAACAAAAAACCCAATAAAGTCTATATCGATCGTTTGTAGGTGCTATACCGTTCGTGCAAACCTATTGATATACACTTATTGGGATTTTTTTTTTTTTTATATTGATCGGTTTTGCATGGACGTTATAGCACCTACAAACTATGGGATATATACTAGGATTTTTTTTTTTTTTTTTAATCAAAGACCTGCAGCAGGATATATTGTGGCCAAAATGTACGATTATTTTCTTTTATTATTAGATATGTTTTGAAGTAGAAAGTAATTTTCTCTTCAAAAAAGTTGGTCTTTTTTGTTTATATCGCAAAAAATAAAAACCCAATAAATCAAATACCGCCAAATGAAATGAAAGAGGGTTTGTTTGGGCACAGCGTTGCACGACCATACAATTACCAGTTAAAGTATAGCAAAAAAATGGCCTGGTCACGAAGGGGGTAAAATCTTCTGGCGCTCAAAAGGTTATTAAAAATAAAATAACGACAATGAATAAAAAGATATTTTCAAATGTGTGGCAATGACAATTATTAACAACATTTTCAAAAGTGTGGTGAGGGACTCATAGGTGTAATCGCAGTTCACACACAGCTGAGTGTACTGAATGCAGTGAATACAGGAGAGCTTGGCTTACTATAGAGAAAACGAGGATTTCTCGAGGTGATCAGCTGATCTACTGACGGTTTCCAGCCTGCGCAGCTATACCAATACAACAACGGTGGGCCTGGACCCACAAGGATCACTTCTCTGGGATTAAACAGTTAAAATAATGCTGCAAGAAAATATATTTTAAAGCAGAGGTTTGTACCCCCCCCCCCCCCCCATTCATCTCTAACAGCCTGGATATGGAGACACTGGGATCTATGTAGTTGAGGTTATGCTACAGCCAGGAAGGTTGTCATCTACAAACAATGCCCATGAAAGCTTCCTGGTGACAGGAGCCAAGCTGTGACTACAATGAGATGCAGAACCGCCATTTACATTATTATTAGTATGTAAACAAGGATCCTGATAAGAAGGATCCAATGTTTCCATTCATCTGTGATGAATGTGATTTGCATTGCCCCAAGCTACTGATAAAGTGAAGAGATATCCATGGGGGGGGGGGGGTATATCAGCAACAAGGCATAAACAGAATAAATTCAATTAGAGGCTGGGACAGGCAGATGCTGCCCATGCCATGATAATCACACCGATGATTTTCTTTGAACAGGACATCTCCAACATCAAGATAGGAAAATAATCTGCCGGATTACAGCCTTCAATTTGCTGCTATTTACAAGCACACAAACCGTAATTGACAATGGTAGGGCTATAAATCAGACAATAAATCAAACCCCATAAAACTCGGTGCTAGGAACAGCCTCCCATGTCAGGAGAGTGGGCTGGGGGGGAACCTGACCACCATACAGAACTCAATACAAGGCAGGAGGCTAATTATAGGGGGATATAGGGGTGTTGTAGAGGTTGGGGCGCTCCGCCTGTGTAGAGGTAGGCAGGGGGGCCGCTCCACCCATGTGTAGATGAGATGTAGATGAGGCTAATTGTAGGGGTACATAGGTGTGTAGAGATGGGGGGCGCTCCGCCCATGTGTACATGAGATGTAGATGAGGCTAATTGTAGGGGTACATAGGTATGTAGAGGCGGGGGTGCTCCGCCTGTGTAGAGGTAGGTAGGGGGGCTGCTCCACCCATGTGTAGATAACGCTAACTGTAGGGGTACATAGGTGTGTAGAGGTGGGGGCGCTCCGCCCATGTGTACATGAGATGTAGATGAGGCTAACTGTAGGGGTACATAGGTGTGTAGAGGTGGGGGGCGCTCCACCCATGTGTTGATGAGATGTAGATGAGGCTAATTGTAGGGGTACATAGGTATGTAGAGGTGGGGGGCGCTCCACCCATGTGTTGATGAGATGTAGATGAGGCTAATTGTAGGGGTACATAGGTATGTAGAGGCGGGGGCACTCCACCCATGTGTTGATGAGATGTAGATGAGGCTAACTGTAGGGGTACATAGGTGTGTAGAGATGGGGGCGCTCCGCCCATGTGTTGATGAGATGTAGATGAGGCTAACTGTAGGGGTACATAGGTGTGTAGAGGTGGGGGCGCTCCGCCCATGTGTTGATGAGATGTAGATGAGGCTAACTGTAGGGGTACATAGGTGTGTAGAGGTGGGGGGCGCTCCGCCCATGTGTGTTGATGAGATGTAGATGAGGCTAACTGTAGGGGTACATAGGTGTGTAGAGGTGGGGGCGCTCCGCCCATGTGTTGATGAGATGTAGATGAGGCTAACTGTAGGGGTACATAGGTGTGTAGAGGTGGGGGGCGCTCCGCCCATGTGTACATGAGATGTAGATGAGGCTAACTGTAGGGGTACATAGGTGTGTAGAGGTGGGGGCGCTCCGCCCATGTGTACATGAGATGTAGATGAGGCTAACTGTAGGGGTACATAGGTGTGTGAGGTAGAGGGGGGGGCGCTCCACCCATGTGTTGATGAGATGTAGATGAGGCTAACTGTAGGGGTACATAGGTGTGTAGAGGTGGGGGCGCTCCGCCCATGTGTACATGAGATGTAGATGAGGCTAACTGTAGGGGTACATAGGTGTGTAGAGGTGGGGGGGCGCTCCACCCATGTGTTGATGAGATGTAGATGAGGCTAACTGTAGGGGTACATAGGTGTGTAGAGGTGGGGGCGCTCCACCCATGTGTTGATGAGATGTAGATGAGGCTAACTGTAGGGGTACATAGGTGTGTAGAGGTGGGGGCGCTCCGCCCATGTGTACATGAGATGTAGATGATGAGGCTAACTGTAGGGGTACATAGGTGTGTAGAGGTGGGGGGCGCTCCACCCATGTGTTGATGAGATGTAGATGAGGCTAATTGTAGGGGTACATAGGTATGTAGAGGCGGGGGGCACTCTGCCTGTGTAGAGGTAGGTAGGGGGGCCGCTCTACCCATGTGTAGATAAGGCTAATTGTAGGGGTACATGTGTGTAGAGGTGGGGGGGCGCTCCGCCCATGTGTAGAGGTAGGAGGGGGGTGTAGAGGAGTATGATGTTCTCTCTCACCTGTATGCAGCCATGGGGGGGGGGGGGGGTAGATATGTCTCACCTGTACGTAGCCATTGCCTGGGTCTATAGTAGTAGTTACTTCCGTGTGTGTGTGGGGGGTATAGATTGATGTGTAGAGGGGGTAGGTACATGTACAGTAGGTAGGCCTCACCTGTATGCAGCCATATCTTGGGTCTGTAGGTACTTAGGTGTATGGGGGTTATAGATCAGGGTGTAGGTAAGTGGGGTGTAGAGGTAGGTTGGTCTCACCTGTAAGTGAACACTGCCTAGGTCCGTATGTACTTCTATGTATAGATCAGGGTGTAGGTAGGTGTACAGGGGTAGGTAGGTCTCACCTGTATGTGGCCACGCCTGGGTCTGTAGGTACTTCTGTGTATAGAGGGTAGAGTGGTGTGTGTGTGTAGATAGGTGTACAGTAAGGTGGTCTCACCTGTAGGCCACAGCCCGTCTCTGCAGGTACTTCTGTATATGGAGGGTATAGATCGGTGTGTAAAGGGGATGGTGGGGGGTTAGGTATACAGTAGGTGAGTGTGGTAAGGGGTAGGTAGGTGTGCAGTAGGTAGGCAAGTCTCACCTGTTTCTCACCTGGGTGTGCAGGTACTTCAGTGTATGGAGGATATAGATCTGTGTGTAGGGGGGAGGTTGGTAGATCGATGGGTAGGTGAGTAGATCGGTCTCATCTGTAGGCGGCCACGGCCCGAGTGTGCAGGTACTTCTGTGTCTGGGGGGTATAGATCAGTCGGTGGGTCTCACCTATAGGAGGCCACGGTGTGCAGGTACTTCTGTGTTTGGGGGGTATAGATTGGGGTGCAGGGGGAGGTGGGTGGGGGTAGGTCCGTAGATCGGTAGACAGGTCTCACCTGTAGGCAGCCGTGGCCCAGGTGTACAGGTACTTCTGTGTCTGGGGGGGATAGATCAGGGTGCAGTGGGGAGGTGGGTGTAAGTAGGTAGGTGTGTAGATCGGTAGGTAGGTCTCACCTGTAGGCGGCCACGGGGGGGGGTATAGATTGGGGTGTAGGGGGGGAGATGAGTGCGAGTAGGTGTGTAGATCGGTAGGTCTCACCTGTAGGCGGCCACAGCCCGGGTGTGAAGGTATTGTGTGTCTGGGGGGTATAGATTAGGGTGTAGGGGGGGTGTGGTTAGGTGTATAGATTGGTGAATAGGTAGGTCTCTCCTGTAGGCAGCCACAGCCCAGGTACTTCTGTGTCTGGGGGGTATCTGATTGGGGTGTAGGGGAAAGGTGAGTGTGGGTAGGTGTATAGATTAGTAGGTGTGTAGATCAGTGGGTAATAGGTAGGTCTCACCTGTAGGCAGCCACAGCCCAGGTACTTCTGTGTAAGGGGGGTATAGATCGGGGTGTAGGGGGGAGGTGGGTGTAGGTAGGTGTGTAGATCGGTAGGTCTCACCTGTAGGCGGCCACGGCCCGGGTGTGCAGGTATTCTGTGTCTGGGGGGGGTATAGATTGAGGTGTAGGGGGGAGGTGGGTGTAGGTAGGTGTGTATATTGGTGGGTAGGTGTGTAGTAGGTAGGTGGGTAGATCTGTGGATAGGTGGGGAGATCGGAGGGTAGGCCTCACCTGTAGGCGGCCACGGCCCAGGTGTACAGGTATTCTGTGTATGGGGGGGTATAGATCGGGGTGTAGGGGGGAGGTGGGTGTGGGTAGTAGGTAGGTGGGTAGGTAGGTCTCACCTGTAGGCGGCCACGGCCCGGGTGTGCAGGTATTCTGTGTCTGGGGGGTATAGATCAGGGTGTAGGGGGGAGGTGGGTGTGGGTAGGTGTGTAGATCGGAGGGTAGGTGTGTAGTAGGTAGGTGGGTAGGTGTGTAGATCGGAGGGTAGGTGTGTAGATCGGTGGGTAGGTCTCACCTGTAGGCGGCCACGGCCCAGGTGTGCAGGTATTCTGTGTCTGGGGGGTATAGATTGAGGTGTAGGGGGGAGGTGTGTATATTGGTGGGTAGGTGTGTAGTAGGTAGGTGGGTAGATCTGTGGATAGGTGGGTAGATCGGAGGGTAGGTCTCACCTGCAGGCGGCCACGGCCCGGGTGTACAGATATTCTGTGTATGGGGGGGTATATATCGGGGTGTAGCGGGGAGGTGGGTGTGGGTAGTAGGTAGGTGTGTAGATCGGTGGGTAGGTGTGTAGTAGGTAGGTAGGTCTCACCTGTAGGCGGCCACGGCCCGGGTGTGCAGGTACTTCTGCGCCGTCATGACCCCGATGAATAGGAAGGTCCGGTCCCGGGGAATGTCTTCCTCCTGAGCGGCCTCCCCTCCAGGCTCTTCTCCCCCCGGTGCCCGGGATCCGATGTAGGGTAGCTGGTCGTTCCTGTCGCTCCGGGTCCCGGCCGGCACCCCGCAGCTGCCTCCCCCGGCCTGTCCTACCCCCCGGGGCCCTCCTCCTCTCCGGCTGTAGCGCTGGAAGTCGGCGGCCCAGGGGAGGATGAGTCTGGAGGCGATGAGGAAGCCGAGGACCAGTCCGAGGAGGACGCTGAGCCATGAGCGGCGGCTCCGGCTGGCCATACCGGGGAGGAGGGGGGGCTGTGCAGTGCCGCCGGCAGCAGCTGCAGGGGGGGAGGAGGCCCCTTTGTATACCGCCGGAGTCCCCACCGCTGCCGGGAGATCACACCGACTAGGACAGATTACCGCCGGCTCATCCGGCATGGAGCGGGGACAACCCGAACCCCCTGGCCGCCGCTTTCCTTTGTCCTTCCGCCCGGCCTCACACACCCGCCGTCCCTTCTCCGCTCCGGCCTGTGTCACGGATCACACCCCCTCATCTCATCTCCCCTCCGCTCCGTTCAGCACTCTGCACGTCACCCGCACCGCGGCTCTATATGAGGAGCTCACAGGCACAGCCAGGGATTGAACCCGCCCGGCACCCGTCCGCCGCCTCTCATTGGCTGAGAGTCAGAGACCCCCCGGCCCACGTGACCTGGAAGACAAGCAAAACTTTCCCCGCTGCCTCTACAGAGCTCAGTGCCGTACGGGGCGACAGCGGGGAGTGTCGTGCTGAGGTTACTCGGGGCAACTGAGCACGTGACACCCTCTGAATGAAACAGAAATGGCCTGGGTGCCCATAGCAACCAATCAGGGGACATAAATTACACAGAATTTCCTTGTTATATACCATCCCCCAAATCAGAGAATACAAACAGAGCATATAGTAGGATCATAGGATCTGTAGTACGATTGTATATATATGTTACACCATCCTATATATATATATATATTACACCCTATACATACACCATCCTATATATATATATATATATATTACACCCTATACATACACCATCCTATATATATATATATATATTACACCCTATACATACACCATCCTATATATATATATATATTACACCCTATACATACACCATCCTATATATATATATATATATATATATATATATTACACCCTATACATACACCATCCTATATATATATATATATTACACCCTATACATACACCATCCTATTATATATATATATATATTACACCCTATACATACACCATCCTATATATATATATATATTACACCCTATACATACACCATCTATATATATATAATATATATATATATATTACACCCTATACATACACCATCCTATATATATATATATATATATATATATATATTACACCCTATACATACACCATCCTATAGATATATATATATATATATATATATTATTACACCCTATACATACACCATCCTATATATATATATATATATATATATATTACACCCTATACATACACCATCTTATATATATATATATATTACACCCTATACATACACCATCCTATATATATATATATATTACACCCTATACATACACCATCCTATATATATATATATATATTACACCCTATACATACACCATCCTATATATATATATATGTATATTACACCCTATACATACACCATCCTATATACAGTCAGGTCCATAAATATTGGGACATCGACACAATTCTAACATTTTTGGCTCTATACACCACCACATTGGATTTGAAATGAAACAAACAAGATGTTCGTTAACTGCAGACTGTCAGGTTTAATTTGAGGGTATTTACATCCAAATCAGGTGAACGGTGCAGGAATTACAATGGAAATGAAAATGATGGACCTACAGAGGACTGAATTCAAAGACACCCGAAAAATCAAAGTGAAGAAATGATGCAACAGGCGAGTCCATTTTGCTGAAATGTCATTGCAGCAACACAGAATGGTCCTCAGTAGTTTGTATGGCCCCCACGTGCTTGTATGGATGCCTGACAACGTTGGGGGAGGCTCCTAATGAGACCACGGATGGTGTCCTGGGGGATTTCCTCCCAGATCTGGACCAGGGCATCACTGAGCTCCTGGACAGTCTGAGGTGCAACCTGGAGGCATCTGATGGACCGAAACTTGATATCCCAGAGGTGTTCTATTGGATTTAGGTTAGGCAAGCATGGGGGCCATTCAGTGGTATCAATTCCTTCATCCTCCAGGAACTGCCTGCATACTCTCCCCACATGAGGCCGGCATTGTCTGCACCTGGACCCACTGCACCAGAAGGAACCCAGGACCCACTGCACCAGTAGGAACCCAGGACCCACTGCACCAGGGGGAACCCAGGACCCACTGCACCAGTGTAGGGTCTGACAATGGGTCCAAGGATTTCATCCCGATACCTAATGGCAGTCAGGGTGCCATTGTCTAGCCTGTAGAACCATGCTGAACCATGTTACAGGCAGCAGAGTGTTCTCCACGGCTTCTCCAGACCCTTTCATGTCTGTCACATGTGCTCAGGGGGAACCTGCTCTCATCTGTGAAAAGCATAGGGTGCCAGTGGTGGACCTGCCAATTCTGGTGTTCAATGGCAAATGCCAATGGAGCTCTATGGTGCCGGGCAGTGAGCACAGGGTCCACTAGAGGACGTCGGGCCCTCATGCCACCCTCATGAAGTCTGTTTCTGATTGTTTGGTCAGAGACATTCACACCAGTGGCCTGCTGGAGGTCATTTTGTAGGGCTCTGGCAGGGCTCATCCTGTTCCTCCTTGCATAAAGGAGCAGATACCGGTCCTGCTGATGGGTTAAGGACCTTCTACGGCCCTGTCCAGCTCTCCTAGAGTAACTGCCTGTCTCCTGGAATCTCCTCCATGTCCTTGAGACTGTGCTGGGAGACATAGCAAACCTTCTGGCAATGGCACATATTGATGTACTATCCTGGAGGAGTTGGGCTGCCTGTGCAACCTCTGTAGGGTCCAGGTATCGTCTCATGCTACCAGTAGTGACACTGACCCTAGCCAAATGCAAAACTAGTGAAAAACAGTCAGAAAAGATGAGGAGGGAAAAAATGTCAGTGGCCTCCACCTGTAAAACCATTCCTGTTTTGGGGGTCATCTCATTGTTGCCCATCTAATGCACCTGTTGTTAATTTCAATAACACCAAAGCAGCTGAAACTGATTAACAACCTTCTCTGCTACTTAACTGACCAGATCAATATCCCAGGAGTATAAATGACTTGATGCCACACTCTGATTAAAAAGTGTTCCTTTAATTTGTTTGAGCAATGTGTTACACCCTGTAGATACACCATCCCCAAATCAGAGGATATGTGATCAATAATACTAATATATATTACATCCTATATACATGCGACATCCCAAGCTTTCCGTACGCCTTGCCCAAGTTAGTATTTGCCATCCTTGGTGGTCCTCTCCTGTGAGATCTTCATGCGAGGTCTTCAAGGAAGCGTTAAATGTTGACCTTACACTTCATCATACTATGGGAATTTTTATATTAAAAATTGCTAAAATTGTTGAATCTGGGCACTATTTGGCATTTAAAAATGGTGAGCGTAAGGACTCATGTACATTGGGTGTTTACTGCCAGTGAATGAAACTCTGGAATCTTGGTGCGGGTGAAAGACACTGGCCCACCGTCCAGCCCGCTGCCAGCAGCCTGTAAGAGTTTATGAGAGGCTGAAAGCTGCTGCGGCTGGATGGTGCACCAAATGTTACTAACTAATTCCTCTGCCCTGTGTGATGAATGCCCAGAATGCAAACAGTGGACGTTCCTGGCATTGGTTCCTGGGCAGGGGCGGACTGACCATTTGGAAACTTGGGCACTGCCCGAGGGCCCAGGGTCAGTAGGGGGCCCCATGAGATGCCCCTGGTACCTTTTTCATAGGCTTTTTTGAGTTTGGGCAAGGACACAGGGGCCCCATGATCCCCTATTGCCCGGGGGCCCCATGAGTTGTCAGTCTGCCCCTGTTCCTGGGCACATACTGCCCTAAACGTAAGTACCGCTCGGTGCACTGCCAAGCTGCAGCCTCTCATAGAGTTTTACGGTCAGCCAACAGCGGGGCTGCATAGCCTCTATAAGACTGCAATATGTACAGTGTATATGTTTTTTTTTATATATGGTTTTGAAGTAGTTTATTGGGGTTATGCCTGGAGCTATCAGCCATAACCCCAGTATTTTTTTTTGTATATTTTTTTTTTTTTGTTCGCCCGGCGATCCTGTGTCTCATAAAAGTGATCCGAGCGGCTGATCATCTGCTGCATCGCTTTCAGAAGCAATGGGAGGAGACATCACCCCCCTCCCGCTGGTGTTTCAAGGGCTTACCGGCCAGCCAGGGAAACGATCTGACTCTTCGCCCGGCTGGTCACAGAGGTAAGGAGAGACCAGATCGTCTCTGGTCACCTCTATGATCTAGGACACGGGTATCAAACTGGCGGCCCTCTAGCTGCTGCCAAACTACAAGTCCCATGAGGCATTGCAAGATTGACAGTTACAAGCATGACTCCCAAAGGCAGTGCCATGATGGGACTTGTAGTTTTGCAACAGCTGGAGGGCCGCCAGTTTGACACCCCTGATCTAGGACATGGGTGCTCAATCTGTGGCCATCCAGCTGTTGCAGAACTACAAGTCCCATCATGCCTCTGCCTTTAGATGTCATGCTTGTAACTGTCAGCCTTGCAATGCCTCATGGGACTTGTAGTTCCGCAACAGCTGGAGGGCCAGAGGTTGAACACCCGTGATCTTTTTTCAAAGCAAAAGATACTTTTTTTGATCATTGCTTTCAAAAGCAGAGGAGAGATGTGAGGTCTTATAGACCCCACATGTCTCCATAAAGAGGACCTGTCATCCCTTATTTCTATTACAAAGGATGTTTACGTGCCTTGTAATAGGAATATAAGTGCTAAAAAAAAAAATGAAAGGGAAAGTGTGAAAAAAAAAAAAAATTAAAGCACCCCCATCCCTCCGTGCTCGCTTGCAGAATCGAATATATACATAAGCCGCGCATATGTAAACAGTGTCTGCACCACATATGTGAGGTATTGTTGCGAACGTTATAGGGAGAGCAATAATTCTAGCGCCAGGCCCCCTCTGTAACTCTAAACTGGGAACCTATGGAGATTTTTAAGTCCTGCAGTTTGGTGCCATTCCACCAGAGTGCGCAATTTTAAAACGTGACATGTTAGGTATCTAATTACTCGGCATAACATCATCTTTTATATTTTACCAAACAAAAATGGGTTCGATATTGTGTTATTTTTGCATTAAAAATTCTTTAAAGTGCATTAAAAAAAAAAAATTGTTGTGTGACCAAAAAAAATTGCAACTATCACCATTTTAAATTCTTTAGGGACTCTGCTACAAAAAAAAAAATATAATATTTG